GGGAGGAGGTCCCGTATAGGGTGGGATATTGTTCCCCATCTTCGGGAATAGCCCATCCACAATTTTGTCGAGCAGCTGGGGGTTAAGAGTGTCCGTAAGTGGGGGCGCCCATGGGCGCAATCGCCGTATTACCATCCGGTATGGGTGCTCCCAGGGATCCCGGTCTACGGAGGAGATAAGGTCCTCCCGGGCCAAGGCCTTGGCCTTGGCGATAGCCCTCCTCACGGCGCTTCTCCTCGCCGTGAGGACGGCCGATGCCGCCACCCGCGCGTCCCTATCCCGCCATCGTCCTCCAGGTGCGGCCGGCGGAGCGCCTGAGCTCGGCGATCTCCGCCGACTACCAGTTGGCGGCCCCGCGGGCCGGGGGGAGAGGACTGGGGCATGGACGCATCGCACGCGTCCCGCATCATGCCCCGGATCTTCATAACTCCCCCCCCCCCTCCAATGGACTCGCGGGACCCGGTTACAGGCTCCGCTTCGTCTCAATTGGCCGCGCAGATGGCGGCCACAAACTTGTCGCGGTCGAGCGAGGTTAACGCCCACCTTGGCGGTCGGGTCGCCCCGCTGCTGCGCCTTGAGAGCACCCCCCGAGGGGCGACGACGAGGCGGAGCTCTATGTACCGGTGATCAGATCCGGTCTCCGCCTCAGTCGCCACTCTCCATCCCTGAACCTGTCGGGCGGCCGCAGGGGAGGTCCACGTCAGATGGACTCCCCCTGCCACCCGACGAAAATGCTCTCCCAGGCTCTGTTTTGTAAACTGAGGCCGGTAGACGCAGTCCACTCCTGGAGGTCCGCGCCGCGGGGGCACGTCCCCGGGGAATCCTACAACGTGTTGTGGGCATTGAAGTCCCCGGAGACAGTGACCGACCTAGGGAGGCGCCTCATTATGAGTGCCTCCAGCCGGTCCAACAGTGCCCCGAATTCAGCGCGGGTCCAGCAGGGCGGGATATAACACCCGACCACATCTGTGGGCCCGCACTCGACCGCGACGTAGCAGCCCCCCCCCCCCCCCCCC